CGGTTGAAGCTTTTCGTTGTGGCAGCGGTCGGTTCCAGCATCTGTTGTCGCTGTTTGAAGCTTTTTTTGCATCGTTGTAGCTTCCCAGAACGCCGGTTGTAACATCAGGGGGTTGTCCCCCTTGAAGCATTTTGTTGTGGGTCCCTCCGATGGAGATCGTCGCCCATGGCCGAGGTTGCCGACGCGGTTGTAGCTCGCCGCGTAGCCAATGCCAGCAAAAATCCAAGGCCGGTTGCAGCAAAAACTATGCTATGGGGGAAGCAGGGGTGCGGGATGGAGCACGACTGTGAGGGTGGCAGCCGGCGGCGAAGGCGCGGGATGGTGGAGCCTGCTAGGCGGCGACGGCGCGCGGCCATGGGATGGCCTGCGGCAGGATGCGCGCGACCACAAGAAAGAAATTGGAGGGACTAAGGTTGCTCACGAGTGGTGTGTGTGGTCCCACCCATCTTCACGTGTGTGCGCTGGCTGTGTGCACGACCGGCCGAGCGCTCGGCTGGCGCCCTGGCCCCAAACGTTTACCAAAAAATGTTAGAAGATACTCCCTCTCTTTATTATTATAGTTGTTCTAACTTTTGTCTCATTCAAATCCACATAGACGTATTTTTGTTTACTCATTTTGGTCTTTTTTAGTCTATATTAAAATATTTAAAACATCTTATATTTATGAACGGAGGGAATATGTAACTAGAGACTTAAGACCTTTTTAAATAGAATTATAATGGGTTTTTCCTGACTATACTTCTATATTAACTTTTAGTTTCCGGTATACAGTACAACATAAACAAAAAAAGAAAATTGAAAGTACAGTACATAACTTCAGTAGATGTTTAATTACATTCAAAGTTATAGAAGGAACGATAGACCCACCAAAAATCCGATATCTCCGAATTTTGCCAGAACCTGTTTCCCCTACTATGGATTCAATCAGAATTTGATAGCCCTCACTGCCAAAAAAAAGGAAAAAAATATTTTGATACCGCAGGGTTTAACGTGTCATGGTGACCCACAATCCACAATCCACAATCAGCCTTTGCCGAGACATTGGCGAGCGGTGAGGGTGACCATTAGAGCAACTCTAGCAGACCCCGCATCCGGCCTCGACCCGCAAAATTGAAGGAAATATCATGAGTTATGTGGTTTAGTGAACGAATGTTGTACGGAGTCCCGGATGAGATCACGGACATGACGAGGAGTCTCGAAATGATCGAGAGGTAAAGATTCATATATTGGACGATGATATTCGGACACCGGAAGTGTTCCGGGGATACCGGGTGCATACCGGGTCACCGGAAGAGGTTTCCGACATCCCTCCGGCAACTACATGGACCTTAATGGGACAAGAGAGGGACAGACCAGCCCCTAAGGGGCTGGTGCGCCCCTCCCATATGGGCTGGCCAAATTGGAGTAGAAAAGAGGAAGGATGGAAGGAAAAAGGGAATAGGATTCCTCCTCCCCCCTCTTCCCTTCCTACTCCGAATAGGAATAGGAAAGGGGGAGGCAAAATTGGAAGGACCCCAAGTAGGATTCCTCCTACTTGGGGTGCCCCCTTGGCTGCCTCTTCTTCCTTCCAACCTATATATATGAAGGGGGGCACCGCTAGAACACACACCAATAATTGTTAGCCGTGTGTGGCGCCCCCTTCACAGTTTACGCCTCCGGTTATATCTTCATAGTGCTTAGGCGAAGCCCTGCGCGGATCACTTCACCATCACCGTCACCACGCTGTCGTGATAATGGAACTCTCCCTCGAAACTTTGTTGAATCAAGAGTTCGAGGGTCATCATCGAGCTGAACGTGTGCAGAACTCGGAGGTGCCGTACGTTCGGTGCTTGATCTGTCGGAACGAGAAGAAGTTCGACTACATCAACCGCGTTGTCTAACGCTTTCGCTTTCGGTCTACGAGGGTATGTAGACACACTCTCCCTCTCTCTTTGCTATGCATCTCCTAGATAGATCTTGCATGAGCATAGGATTTTTTTTGAAATTGCATACTACGTTCCCCAACAGTGGCATCAGAGCCAGGTCTATGCGTAGATGATATGCATGAGTAGAACACAAAGAGTTGTGGGCAGTGATCGCCATGCTGCTTACCACTAATGTCTTATTTTGATTTGGCGGTATTGTTGGATGAAGTGGCTCGGACCAACCTTACATGACCACGTTCATGAGACCGGTTCCACCGACAGACATGCAACTAGTTTTGCATAAAGGTGGCTGGCGGGTGTCTGTTTCTCCAACTTTAGTTGAATCGAATTTGACTGCGGCCGGTCCTTGTTGAAGGTTAAAACAACAAACTTGATAAATCACCGTTGTGGTTTTGATGCGTTCTTGCTAGAAGCCCATAGCAGCCACGTAAAACTTGCAACAACAAAGTAGATGGTGTCTAACTTGTTTTTGCAGGGTATGTTGTGATGTGATATAGTCAAGACATGATGTGATATACGTTATTGTATGAGATGATGATGTTTTGTAAAAGTTATTGGCAACTGGCAGGAGCGTTATGGTTGTCGCTTTATTGTATGAAATGCAAACACCATGTAATTGCTTTACTTTATCACTATGCGTTAGCGATAGTTGTAGAAGCAATAGTTGGCGAGACGACCACGACGCTATGATGGGGATCAAGGTGTTAAGTCGGTGACGATGGAGATCATGACGGTGCTTTGGAGATGGAGATTAAAGGCACAAGATGATGATGGTCATATCATGTCACATATTTTGGGGGGACCACACACACCACTCGTGAGCAACCTTATCCCCTCCAATTTCTTTTTCGTGGCCGCGCGCCGTCGCCGCCTAGCAGGCTCCACCATCCCGCGCCTTCGCTGCCGGCTGCCACCCTCACAGTCGTGCTCCATCCCTCACCCCTGCTTCCCACATAGCATCTTTTTTGCTGCAACCGACCTTGGATTTTTGCTGGCATTGGCTACGCGGCGAGCTACAACCGCGTCGGCAACCTCGGCCATGGGCGACGATCTCCATCGGAGGGACCCACGACAAAATGCTTCAAGGGGGACAACCCCCCGATGTTACAACCGGCGTTCTGGGAAGCTACAACGATGCACAAAAAAGCTTCAAATAGCGACAACACATGCTGGAACCGGCCGCTGCCACAACGAAAAGCTTCAACCAGTGTCGCAACAAGCTTCAACCTGCATCACAAAAAGCTTCAACCTGCATCACAAAAAGCTTCAACCGTCATCACAGAAATCTTCAACCGACCACGAAAAGAAGGTTTCAACCGTTGATAATAGAGATTCAACTGTAGTTGGATTTTGCTACTAACGGCGAAGTTTTTCGCTACATCCATCAGGCGGAGCTGCGACCTCACGACGACGGCGACAACGATTTGCTGCATCCGCTGTCTTTTCTTGCTATGATTGGCGATGTTTTTTTTACGTCCATTTAGCGGCGGTGACAGACTGGCCGGCCGTCGTCGATGCAATTCCATGCAGGGAGCATCAATGGCGAGGGGCAACGGCAGAGCTATGACCGGAGCTACACCCATCGCTGCTGAGAGTTGAAACCGAAGGTGCAGTTGTTGCACTGGTCGAGGTGGTGACGAGATCGACCGATGAAGGTGGGCACCGGCGACGAGGACAACCGGGGAGGGTGGAGATCGGCGACGAGGACGGCCACCGGTGGGGACATGCCGACGAGGGGTAGGGACCGGCGAAGAGACGGCCACCGGAGCAGAGGAGACACGGCGCTGCACACCTGAGCGGGAGGAAGAAGACGCTGGGGCGAGCATGTGTTTTTCCACCGGATCTAACTGCTAATGCGGCCCACATCGAACAGCTGAGGCACGCGTCCGGCCGAAAATTTTGGGTCGGTGCACGCGGCGCCTATCGCTGCCCCATCTTTTTGTAGAAGTACAATCTTCATACTTTTTTAGTGTTGTGCAACTTGCCGTAGAGATGGATGTACCTAAGCCGATTGTCAAGCTCAACAACAAAGGAGTGGTTAGTATGATCAATGACACCCAAAAGAATTTATTATCCGTTGGAACTTCATTGAAGAGATCGAAAGGGGTGCCGAAGTCTAGACAAGATTGGTGCGGCTCTCGGCCAATGAGGCGACACACCTCCTAGGTAAGGAAGGAGTACATATTGAATTATGCAAATTATGGTTTCATGTCCCTCCGGAGTGTATTTTGAGCGCTGTATGACAGAGGTTTCGAACTTTTATGAATAAATGAAGCAAGCAATTTTCTTCTAAAAAAGAGAGTACAATTTGAAGGGACCTTTGGTCGTGTTTGTTAATACCGTTCACTCGCTTTCTTCGAAGTGATAGAAGGGTTTTGGCTCTTGTACAGTAAGAAAATATCATGGTTTCAGTACCACTACATGACAAGAAATATAGTCTGTTTGGTGTGATCCATTAGTGTCATCTAGCGCACTATCCTGTTTCAGTCCTGGCCTCTGCCATACGACACACTTTTCATCGTTAAACCCCGGTGCCAAGTGCTGAATGTTAGGTTGATCTCTATCCTGTTCAAACTCAACGGATCGAACGGGCCCTTGACTCACGCCCTGATCGGGGGCGCCCAACCAAACCATGGTTGGTGGGCCCCTGTGACCCGTGATATATAACAGAGGTGGGGGCCGGGACACGACTCACGAGGTTGAACACTGCCACCAACCCCACCGAATACTCCCTACCGATCTAGGATTATCGCGGTGCTCACGGGAAGCTCCACTACCACCGCCATCCACTCACTGCCATCACCGGCCACCGTCACCATGGCCGGCACCGGGAGTTTCTCGTCTGCACCAACAGAGGGTAAGTTTTCCGGAAATCCTACCCTACACGATCCCATGGATCTATCACTGAACTGTTGACTGACCGGCATTGCGAAATATCTTACTCAATCGTCAGGGTCAATAATATCTTCTACGGGCCACATCGCTCCAGCGTGAAAAGTGAAAAGCGAAAGCTTAGCAGAAGAATTTACAAGAGTATATTTGGCTGCGCCGTCATGCATGCACTGATACACGTTCTTATCCGATCTCTCGTAGTTTCGTTCCGCGCAACTTGGCAAGCAGAGCAGGAGTAGTGGTATTCGACATGGATTTCCACCGTCGGTGAGTCCCCGTGCCCACCCTGGCTGCCGGCACCCGTTTGCACACCCGCTCTGCTCAGAATGGGGATGGTGGTTCGCTCTTCAGTAACCAGCATTCAGTCCTCATCATGCATGCATGCATGCTCTGGCAGTATAAACTCTGGTTATGTGTTACTTCAGAAAAAGTATGCAGAGAAGGACTGGGAAATTCGTAGCAATTGTAGAAAAAACAGCTATACACATCAGAAGCATTCAGTATATGTACATAGAGATACAGTGAAATCTCTAGCCCTACACATCAGAAGTTGGAAGCTAGACCTCCATTCTCCAAGGCTTAGGCCCCAACGGAATAGATACAGATTCAGTGACATTTCTAACCGTACACATTGGAACTTGGAATCTGGATCTCCATGGCTTTTACTAGATGCCAAGTGATCGATCTACAATACATGTTACACAGGGCCATTGCCTTGTCCTACGCACCGGACTCTAAGAAAGTAGTACTATGTATACAAAGAGATTCAGTGACACTTCCAACCCTACATTTTGGAACTCCGAAGCTGAGATCTCCAAGGCTTAGGGTAGGTGACAACGGATCTATCCACAGGCCACAATACATGCATGTTGCTCCCTCCGTTTCTAAATATAAGTCTTTTTAAACATTTCAAATGAATTATAACATACGGATGTATGTAGATATATTTAAAGTGTAGATTCACTCATTTTGCTTCGCATATAGTTACTAGTTAAATTCTCTTAAAAGACTTATATTTGAGAACGGAGGAGTACTTGGGGCCATCGCCCTGTCCTACGTACCGGACTCCATCGCGTCCAACGTGCGGCTCGTGTTTGCTCCTGTCTCACCCTGCCGAGGGACAACTGCGGTCGAGTCACTGTTGCTCATTTCAGTAGTGCGCCGCCTCCGGCTCTCCTCTTCCCTGTCGCTGATGTACCTAAAGTGTGCATGAGGCCAGAAACCTGCAGCCATTGCGTTGATTATGGTTGTTTGTTAGATCAAATTCAGCAAGCACACATTAGCTTGTATCGACAGAGAAAGCAACGGAAAGTGCAGTTTCAAAATTGCAAAAATTAAAATAAAGTTGGTGTAGTCTGTTTCCGGAATATAGTCAAACATACGGTTCTAGTCAACTTATTTTCCTTTAAGATCTAAGATTTGGTATTTGCGGAACACGATTATACAACATTTAGGGCCTTTTTAGTCACAAGATTCTAGAAAGATAGGCATACGAAAGACATAAATAGAATACGAATCCATGTGGAAAGCAGAGGAGTTAAAAACACAATCTTGTAAACATGGATGTTCAAGAGTAGGAAAAACAGGTGTACGAATAGTAATAAAGACAACCAAATTAAAATCAAATCACATAAAAAATATATATAATTAGAATGTTATCATCCCGCTAAAGACCTTCATCTCGTACTTCATAGGTATAAACTCTAAGAAGAGATCCAATAAATTGTAAAATTAGTGTATTTTTCTTTAAAGCGGACATCGAAAGACATTTCCTCCATTTCACTGAACCAGGAGGTTTGCTTTAGTAATCTTTTTCTACAACATGTTGCTGTTATGTGCCACTTGATTTTTTTGAAGGAAGAGAAAAGAAAACTAAATAAGCATATCAACATATTTCTTGTGCATCATCCGTTCCATTTCTTGTGCAACAAGTGACTTATTTAATACCCATGGCTTCATGGGATATTTTCCCCCGTGTATTTGTCTTCTAACATTTTTTTATTAGGTTGATTCTCCAACATATTTATGTTGCATACAGGACAAGGTAATGTCATTTCTCCCTTATCTTGTGTTTTTAGGTGTTACTTGATTCTTTTGTAAAAACTATTTCTTGAATAAACATCATTGAAGTTTATTTCCCTCGTGGGTAGCTGTCCATAAACAAATATTTTTATTGAATTTCATCAACATATGCCCTACACCTAATTTGTTCTGGACTTTGATAACCAGCGAACATCAGATTTTCAAGCATGACAAAACAAACATTTTTTATGACAATTTATGTTGTGAGGATGATAATTTCTTTTATCAAGCATTTTTTGTTAACATTTCCCTTTGTTTTAGAATCGTGCAATAATTTTCCTATATGCATGGATCCGTTGTGGGATGTCCTAAAGGTCAGCTAGCATTTTCCTAGTGTTCATTGTACTTAATTGCTCATATTAGGTACAAGTGTTACTCTTCTGTTTTGATGTGTCTCAAATTCTTAAAAGACGTGTCTCAAATTTTCCGGCTAAAAAAAGATGTGTCTCAAACAAATACATCGAATCTAACGGTATGGAGTATAATCAGCTTGACTATTGTGGCTCAAACTTTTAAGTGTTTTTACTACTACTTTAGTGACACTAATTGAGATTAGTTAGTATGGACTAATTAGACGGCATCACAGACAATGGTGAGGTCTGCGAGGGGCACTCCAGCTACTCCCTCCGTCCCATAATGTAAGACGTTTTTTGACACTAGTACTTGGCAACCTGATTGGGGAGTCACTTGTGGACCTCGCCCCAGTCCATTTGTGATGCCACCAGCGGGATTTCAAAACTCACATACACATGTCCATTTTCCCTTCCGCCCTTTATGTTTGCCTTTCATTATAAAGCTCCAAATTGTCTGCATGATGGCTTCTCCTGCTCTATTTCAACTCGATCATCCGTGGCCTCATTTGACAAACCAATATTCCATGCAACACGATGATTGGTTCTATTGCTTTGTCTGGATGTCAAATGCTCACCCATGAATCCAACATGGTGATGACAAATGATCACCATGCGAAGTAGACTAAGTTGTCATTTTTAATAAATGGTACATTTTCAAAGGGTCAATGATGTAGAAGAATGGTGATATCGGTGAAGATGTGAACCATCAAATTAAAGTCGGATGGACGAAGTGTTGTCAAGCTTCAGTCATCCTCTATGACAAGAGTCCAACAAACTAAAAGGTAGGTTCTATAGGACGTTGATTCGACTTGTGATGTTGTATCACGCATAATGTTGGCCAACTAAGAGGCGACATGTTCAACAGTTAAGTGTAACAAAGATCCACATGCTGAGATGGATATGTGGCCACGCAAGAAATGATCAGGTCTGGAATGATGATATACACGATAGAGTTGGGGTAGCACTAATTGAAGAGAATCTTGTACAACATCGTCTGAGATGATTTGGACGTATACAATGCAGCTCTCCAGAAGCTCCGTGTGTAATAGAAGATTAAAGCTTGCTGATAATGTCAAAAGTGGTCGGGGTAGAACAAACTTGACATGAGGGGAGTTCGTAAAGAGACATAATGTCACCAAAGAACTAGCCATGGACAGGGGATAGCTATCCACGTGCCAGAACCATTACTAGGTTTCGTGATCTTAATTGTTTCAGCTCTAGACTACCCCAATTTATTTGGACTGGAATACTTTATTGTTGTTGTTGTTGTTGTTGTTGTACTTTTTAATCTCCACTGTTGATTTACATAGAGATTTTTAAATCCTTATAGAGAAGGTTTACCAAAGTATACTACTTCAACTAAACAAGAAATCTTACGATGCTCCCAAATTATTAAGGGTTGTCCATTAATATTGATCTAATTGCTAGGAACTTTTTTCTTTGATAAGGAGGCTACAACCCTCTAATGGCTAGGATGGTGTACTACTTTGTAGAAGGTAAGAGGTAACTTTGGCTATGGCTAAACAAGTTTATTGCACACTTGTGCCGAGTGCAAGAAATATATTCGTTAAACATATTGTGTCAATGAAGGTATACAAAAGACTCATTGAGCAACAGTACAAATATTAGATCAAAACATTTCACCCAAATTTAAGCCATAATTTTTTATGAACTATTTCAATGGCACGAACTTGTAAATAGCTAGACAAAATGATAAATTTGGACTACATACAACACTTGATTAGAAATATAAGATAGATATGCAATTTTAAAGTTTAAGATGCTTATTAAACGTGCATATGTTAGATTACTTGGTATGGCTAAGCAATCAAGCATGACAATTGTGGACAGAATGCATCTCTTCAGACCAATTAACTGGAACGTCATCAAGATTCCATTGTGATCAATTGTCAGATTGTTACCAATTGTTATGGAAGGATGGTGGGGCAAGGTGGAGCCTCTTTAAAAAGCTCAACTAAATGAATGAATAGTACTGTCAACGTAATTATTTTTCTTCTTATTATTTTTCTGTTCGTTCTTCACTTTTTCTATGCACCAAAGAGGGCCTTAACATGTAACTGAAAGTCCTCAGTCCTGATATGAAATACTCCAGATGCACCAAGAGTCCAGAAGAAGTATACCTTTGTCATCAGAGGGTGGTGGAAAGAACTGCAGGTAGCAAACAGACGCAATCACCATTCCTTCACGGACATGACAAACCTCGTCAGCACCGAAGAGAGTTTGGATATTTCCCGCAAAAACATGAATAGAAAAAAAAAAGAGTTCAGAGATAACAAAGCATAGGCGCGAGCTTCTGACCAAGGATGCCGCCAGCGAAGACGTCCTGCCAATGGTGCCAGTAGTCATCTACCCGCGAGATGGCGATGACAGCGGCGACGAGGAGAGGCAGGATGACGACGCACAGCTTGGCGACGTGTCCTCGTCGGTCGAAGACGGTGATCTTCCCGGCGAGGTACCACGACAGGAAGCCCAGGCCGGCGAAAGACCCTGCGCCACGGCACGACGAGAAGCTTATTAGGCATCGAGCACATAGTACACAGTACACGTAGATTGTTGCTGCTATCGCTTTGTGACAGTAACAGTGCAACTGAATCTAGTAAAGTGAATGGCATCTTACAGGAAGAGTGGCCACTTGGGAAGCTCTTGTGGCCTTCTTTGATCACGCTGGCGTCGCCGTGGCATATGACTGCTGTGGTGATGTTGTCGTACACCTGGGCAACAAGGGGACCAGTCTAAGTTTGGGTGCAAGATAAAATTCAGAGAAATCCGAGCGAGTGTCATTACAGCGATTCCATCAGGGAAGCAGCGCCAGAAGAAGTTGGGGCGCGGACGGCCCACGGCGTTCTTGATCGCATCCGTCAGGACGCCGGTGATCAGCACAGAGAACAGAATACCTACTTGTTCAATTGAGGCGCATCAGAACGAGACTTGTTTTTCCTGAGCACTGCATTTTCATTAACAACTTGAGGAAAACTACATAAACAAAGTACCAATTGTAGCATGGTGCAAATCATACGCACTCCGCCTCCAGATGTAGATGGCGATAAAGATGAGCATAGGTGCAATGACAGCAACGATCTGCGTGAAAAGACCTCAAATTTCAAACTCAGGAGATATACGCTTCCAAATTTAAATGTGGGAGGGTCGCACGCACCGGCACGGCCCAGACCGGGACGGTGTTGCTCTTCAACGGGTATCTGAGGTCCGCGATCATGCCTTCGCCGACGAAGCGGTGGAACGGCTCGATGGCGTTGAGGACGCATTCCATGGCGATCAGAAGGAGCAGCGCAACCCAGTCGTAGGCGTGCGACCTCGCGATCCTGACGCCATGCGACTGCATCGTGGCGAAGGGGAATGTGCACGCCGGAGCATTGGTACACGCCGGCGCCTGCATCTCAGCCTCTCCTCTGTCTATGTGGATCTATCTAACACTCCTTATCCGTTCCAATGAATGCAGGAGGAGAGACAGTGATGTTAGCGCATTTGCTCTCGACCCCGGACTCTTCCGTTTTCTTTTATTCCGTTATGGGGCGGCGCGTCAGCCCTTGTTTTATAGCACACAGAATGGAGGACTTGAGGACGACTGGCAGTTGCGAGGGAAATTTCGAAATCGGCTATGCAGTACAGTATTTTGGTAGCAATAATACTACACCTACGAAACCAACCTACTAAGAGTTACGTAACCTGCCTAACAAATCTATCGCCCCCCCTGATTTTCATCCGTGTGGGCCCCTGCCACATCCATCCATCCAATCGCAGTCCTACACATTGTCTATTACGTAAAATCTGTACGTAACTTTACCTAGGTGTAGCATTGCTCTTTTGGTAGACCCCAAGATTTAAATGACTGACCGGGAATCTGCACGGAGTTGACTGACTTGCGGCACCGCGTATGGACAGCGACTGCAAACCGCGTTCTACGCGGTACCCACTAGGTCCACCACCCAGTTATATATGCTTGCATTTCTGTGCAATGGCAGTGGCAGAATCAATCGTGCTCTCAGGTCCTTGAAAAATTTATCATCAGTGCTAGCTGACCTGTACCCGCGGATCTGAGAAACTACTCCTAGTACCAATTCCAGCTTCAGAAGCAACCAGCGATTTAGAAACGGAAACTGAAGAAACAATTAGTACCAATTCTACACATCACTGCCAGCGGACCTGAGAAAATACTAAACTCATCTTCAGCAGTGCCCGCGGATCTGAGAAACAATTAGTACCAATTACAGTTTGAGAAGCAACCATCTTCAGTTCCCGCGGATCTAAGAAACAACCTATACTAATCGCAATTTGAGAAGCAACCATCACTTTTGACAAAACTTAATCGATCGTCAACCTTCAAAGGTCAGGCCAAAGGAACAAAAACTACTCAAGAGTACTAAATATTTCGAATGTTAGATTTGTGGGCTTTACCCTTCCCGAAGGAAAGGAGCCCTTTCAGAAATTCTCAGTGGCCCCGGAGGGCCAAAGAGGGGGTTTGGAAATAGTTTTCAACCAGCAATTGACGCGCCTCGGTATAACCTCACTAGCTGCGTCATTGCCCCAAGCGCAAAGATGCCTTTTCCAGGCCGCCCATCGCCCCATCTTATATCCGGCCACCCCTCGCGCTCCTTCCTCCACAACCGATGTGGGACAAAACTAACGCAACGCTGCCCCTGCACGGAGCAAAACAGACCGACTCAATGAATTATTAGGAGCGGGCGGGCCAGATATCCTTGCTGGGCCGTGCCTCCCCCTGGCCCATGCAAACCCGGGAGCCCAGCAGCCAGGTGATCCAGAGTCTCCTCCTCTGCGCTGCGCTTCTCTGCTTCTTTCTTCTTCCTCCTCCCGCAAGCCGACCTACGCCTCTGTACGCTCGGCGAGTCCGAGAAAAGTGCGGGATGAAGACGAGGTCGCAGACCACCCCGAAGCCCCTCAATACGGTGCGGCTGCCCCCCGTAGAGAGCCCCCGCACGAGGTCGAGGCCGAAGCCGAAGCCGGAGACGCGGAAGAAGGGGACCCTCGGCGACCTCCGCCGCCCCAAGAAGCCCCCAACCGCCTTCTTCTATTTTATGTATGTCCAATTCTTCATCTGTGTTTAGTCTCGTGTCTTCTTACTGGCGACTGCTCTGCTGAGAAGCAATTGGGATGCGGTATTAGGGGTTTCTCTGGCTTCTCGGCTGGGCTGTTCGCTCGCAACCTCGGGCTAGTTAGGATATTACACCTCTTCGGATGTGCGGCAGTTCTGTTGAGAAACTTTGAATCGGTGCGTGCCTTAGTGGTGGTGTTCTGGTGCAGAGAGCTCTAGTGAGCCCCCATGTCCTGGTAATAAGATACTACTATTCTGAAGATGTTTCATCTCAGTCTAGCAGTCAGAGGTGCATTTGTTTGTTCTCTAATCGATGGGTGCAGCGTTGTTGGGACCTAGTATCTTATTTTGTCAATTCGAACTGTTTTCAGCTTATCTGAAAACCGGAACAGTTAATAATCACTGATATATAAACAAAAAATGTACTATGTGCTGTTGACTTACCCCAATGTTGATGTTCCAAAATGCTTTAAGTACTGATAAAGAACAACTGCTCCTCGCAAGTAAAGAATAACTGCAATAGGACATTATCGCTGCACCATATAAACGTTTTCTGCTTCATCCAGTCATCATCTTTGAACATATTGATTGCTTATCCTTTGGGTTCTTCACATGGCTTTAGGTGTAACACAAATACCAAACATCCTTCCTGCTGTCCTGGTGTTGAACATTTAATCTATCGTGGACACAATGACTACAGAGATAAATAATTCATTCCTCTGTCCATCGTAGACTGTTAACCAGGGCACCAGGCTAAAATGATGAAATTGCTGTACATATGATCCATGCTTTTCGAGTCGAACGACTAGTCGTTGACTAGTCGAGGAGTCGTAACTGCAAGGTCGACTCGACTAATTGGCTGAGTCGAGCGACTCAATCGACTAGTCGTTGACTAGTCTAAGAGTCGTAACTGCAAGGTCGACTCAACATGTCGACTCGACTAATTGGCTGAGTCGAGTGACTCAATCGACTAGTCTAGGTTTATGAGTCGAACGACTAGAAGTTGGCCCAGCCTGTCATTTTTTTTTCTATTTGCTTGCCCAATCCCCCCGTGAAACCTAGATCGCCCCAGTTTTCCCCTGACCCAAACCTATACTGGCTTACGCGAGCCTCTCCCTTGGCCACAGCCGCCACCCCACAATCCTGCCGGCCGGCGCCGCGGCAAGCTGGTCTGCTCCTCCCCTGGTTGCTGCTGCTGCTGGTGGTCTGCTCCTCCCCTGGTAACTCATGTCGACTATGAGTCTTGACTAGTCACAACTAGTCAAGAGTTGCTACCCCAAAACGACTCGTCGAATCGAAAACCTTGATACGATCTTGAATGTACGATTTGCATCCGACACTGAAATCAAATAGTGGAACAATGCTTTCAGCTTATCAGTAGCACCGGAACGGTTAACTCATGCTTTCAGCGTTGTTCGGACCTAGTATGCTTTTTTGTCAATTCGAACTGTTTTCAGCTTATCAGTAGCACCGGAACGGTTAATAATCACTGATGTATGAACAAAAATGTACTATGTGCTGTTGACTTACCCCAATGTTGATGTTCCAAAATGCTTTAAGTGCTGATAAAGAATAACTGCTCCTCGCAAGTAAAGAATAGCTGCAATAGGACATTGTCGCTGCACCATATAAACGTTTTCTGCTTCATCCAGTCATCATCTTTGAACATATTGATTGCTTATCCTTTGGGTTCTTCACATGGCTTTAGGTGTAACACAAATACCAAACTTCCTTCCTGCTGTCCTGGTGTTGAACATTAATCTATCATGAACGTAATGACTGCAGAGATAATTCCTCTGTCCATCGTAGACTGTTAACCAGGGCACCAGGCTAAAACAATCAAATAAATAACGAAACTGCTGTACATACGATCTTGAATTACGATTTGCATCCCACACTGAAATCAAATGGTGGAACAATGCTGATAGACTGGCATCGGACGGTGGCTGGAGTGCATCGGACATAAATCTTACATGGATGTGTCGTACGCATAGCAACGGTCAACAAATAATGCAAACATGCGATGTATGTTGCCAAACGCCTATCTCTGTCCCTGTGCGACTCATAGCTTGCATGCCTCAGTACATGTCTGATTTCACAGCACTCCTTATGTTTCACGTTTGTGTATTTAAATTGTTTAATTAATTGTCTAATTAGAAATATCTGTAGGCAAACATAGGCTTTTTTTCGCTAGAACCTAGTTGATTTCCATGGGCATCAAGAAAGAATCCTGTGTTCCAAATGGGGCCTTAATGTTCTCTTTATTTATATGATCATTTCATTGCCCTGGTTAAGATGTTTCATCGCTTGCACTGAACCAATTTTACTGAAGCTGGTATATTCTCTTGAAGGGAGGATTTCCGGAAAACGTTTCAGGAAGAAAATCCAAGTGTAAAAGCAATGCAGGATGTAAGTTTCCATCATTTAAATTTGAAGCTTGAGGTTGGCTTTCTTAGTCTTGTAATGTAATATACCTTTCACTGCAGGTAGGGAAGGCATGTGGTGAGAAATGGAATAAAATGGCATTTGAGGTTGGTATTTTCCTTCCAATAGCCTGATGATGTCTGTGTTGCATTAGGTTGCTGTCTGGTATTATAATATGGTTGATAGGAATATATGTAGTGGAGATGTCGTTTGGTTTCTTTGATGATTCACTTATTTCTGTTTTGTTATTGGAAATCAATAGAAGCTTCTTTGTCCAATCATGAAATGCAAAACCTTGCCTTGATATTTTATTCAGCAAGATCCAAATTTCGCAATGAAAATACCGTCCTTTTCCGCCTGTCCCTTGTACCTTGCCGATGTGCCTAGTAGCTAGATCAAGTTCATTGCTTATCCCAATCCAGAGAAACAGCTGAAGGGATGCACTGACACAGGTTGTAGGTTTAACAGTGGAAGTTTCATAACCTGTATACTCAGAATTAATTTTGTAGGATTGTAAGCTAAGTTTCTTATTGATGATGGTACACTATTGCACATTTACTATCATTTACATGTTGGTAGTAGGTTTATTGTTTCTATTTAGCTGGCTACACTAAAAAAATTGAAGTCCCTACCTGTAGACAGTTCTACACATATGAATCCACTTAACACTGATGATGATAATGACCCATCTTTGCTATACCGGTCATATTATTGTGAAATTTCTCATTTAGGAAATGTAATTTGGCACATAATTATTTAGCAGTTATGTCTTCCCATTGACTTGTGTAAGACCACATTACATAATTTGGTGGAGTTATAAAACCGTCTTCTAACTGTAAAAGATCCATTCAAAAGTATGCTTACAAAAGGAAACTATGTTGCCAAAACTGCTAGACAATACATTATGTTGTATTCTACTGATGTTAACATTTTCACCTTGTTCTTCGCACCAGGAAAAGGTGAAGTATTATGATCTAGCTACCGAGAGGCGTGCTGAGTTTGAGAAGGCGATGGCTCAATATAACAAGAAAAAGGTGTTTGTTGTACATGTATGTGCATATTTTATCCTATTTCTCACTCATCTGATCATTTTTTGTCCTACTTCATGTAGATAAATGGTGAATTGTCCGAAGAATCAGAGTAGAAGTGAACATTGGGTTCTGTTGATGCCACAAGTTAACTGGATGAATCATTCAATTGTATATTACATGCCTGAGCATTGTATGAGTTCTATTATCTATAGATGGCTAGAATTCTATACACCGAAATGTAACGTCAGTGTTACAATGACTCACTTCAGTCTCATATTGGCACTATTCACCCGAACGGCCGAACTAATGTGTTGTGGGCAGTACGTTTACTGTTTCCGAGTGACATTTCAATAGCTGTAAATTTTAATCATAACTCGTACACATTAATTAAACAGGAGGCCTGTTAACCTACTGCTTGACAACTAAACTAAAAGTACTATGAGTGTGGAAATATCAACAATGACTCCGTGGCCCAATGGATAAGGCGCTGGTCTACGAAACCAGAGATTCTGGGTTCGATCCCCAGCGGAGTCGTTTTTCTCTCTCAATGCAGTTTTTTTGTTCCAATTTTGTATTCTGGTGCAGTTTCGTTCCTAAAAAAAATTCAAACACAAAATTTTATTTATGCCATTGCCATCTACTATATGATGGAGCTTAACCTTTCGGTTGAGGCAGTTTTTTTGGTTCCAATTTTGTATTCTGGTGCAGTTTCGTTCCTAAAAAAAATTCAAACACAAAGTTTTATTTATGCCATTGCCATCTACTATATGATGGCGCTTAACCTTTCGGTTGAGGCAGTTTTTTTCGTTCCAATTTTATATTTTGGGTGCAGTTTCATTCCTAAAAAAATTCAAACACAAAGTTTTATTTATGCCATTGCCATCTACTATATGATGGCGCTTAACCTTTCGGTTG